ATAAAATTCAAGACACCCAGGGAAATGTCAGTCTCAAACAGCAGACTGGTTTTAGTGGGAATGTGTCCTGTTTGTCATTTGTTTACGACTCACATTGAACTGAACACCTGGGTTTTTTATTGCATTGTCTCACATGCTGTGCCTGGACCCTAGACCATGCTGCTGCCCCCTGCTTGGGAGTGCCAAGTTTCCACTGTCCTCTGTACCCTGGAACAATCTCAGGCAGCAGTAAGGGCAGACACGGGCACAGACAGCAGAGAGGAAAGTTCCACGAAAGTGTTGTGTTCCTCTGACCATGAGCCTTGGGATTCTTTTGACAGCCATTCTGACCCCACAACAAGGTGACAGGCCCTACAGGACTTCCCCGTGGACACATAGCTCTCTTCATTCTCTTTGCCTAGCAAACTGAGCTCTGCCTGGCTATCCTACAGAGAACAGTGGGCTAACTTCATCAGGGGTCAAAGTTCAAGACACCATCTGCAGATCCCTGACTCATCTCTCCTCCTGTCATTTATTTCCCATTCTCTCCAGTCAGGCAAGTTCCTCAATCCCTTCTCCTCCCTCAGTCATGCACAGGCTCACTGGGCTGTCTACCTTCAGGAAGCTCCCTTAGAGGAAAGAAGCCATGTCACTGTTCCTGCCCTGGGGACACCTGGGGTCACAGGGGTGCTGGTGACCTCCCCACCCTGCTCCTCACACTCAGCCTTGAGCTCCTGATGAGAGGGGGGCCCTCTCTCTTGCACTTTGTGTCCAGCACCTGACAGAGCAGGTTGTACATGGGGCAGGAAGTGGCCGGAACTGAGAGAACGCCTGAGAGATACCTGAGCCTGCACGCTCACCTCCTCCCATGCTCCCCCCCTCCCGCCCCCCTCCCCCACCCCCAGCTGTACCTCACCAACCTGAGTCCCCACTGGTCTGTGTGACACTGTCCCTCAAAGCTAGGTCTTACTCCATCCAGTGAGCAGAGGCTGCTTGCAACTGGTCAGGACTCTCCCACCCCACTTAAAAAAATGTACCACGCTTATTTATTTTATGTGCTTGTGCGAGCGTGTGTGCGTGTGTGTGTGTGTGTGTGTGTGTGTGTGTTGCATCTGAGAGTGTGCACACATGCGTGTGTCTGTCTGTCTGTCTGTCTGTCTGTCTCTCTGTACAGAATGTGGGACCTGGCGATTGAACCCAGACTTGGTAGCAAGTGCCTTTAGCTGGTGATCCATCTTGCTGCCTTCAGCGTCCTCCTTCTTTACCTGTAGATGGTTTTGATTTCTGATTTTATGGGAGGGAAAGGCCAGACACTGGGTTGGCAGATGGCTTTTTCCCCCCTCTGAGCTGCCCTCTTTGAAATGGACATCTTTGGCAAGCCTGCACATATCTCCAGTCCAAGTTGAAGGGCAAGAGACAGAGGGAGTCAGAATCACTGGCTTGTTTAGAACTAAGAGAAAGAGCTCTCCAGTCTGTGGAGAGCTGAAATGCTGAGTGGAACACCAACTTGATTCCCTATAGCTTCCAAGGCCAGCCTTAGGAGCACAGCAGGTAGTGACTGCTTCAGAGTTTATAGAGCACATTTAATTAGCACCTGAGGATCTTAGAGCCTGGATCCCCACCTGGTGTCTCCACCTCTGACTCTGAAGAATCCTGCTTTGAGCCCCCTTACTAGGCCTGTAATTAGGACTAGGCTGCCCCTTCCCTGAGGAATGTGGGAGGCACTCCATTTCCAGAGAATGGTCAGGAAGAAGACAGTGTCCCCAGGGGCATTCCTCCCTGATCAAGAAAGTAAGGCCAGAAGAGTCAGGGACAGGGTCCTGGGAATGTCCCTCTGCACTCCAGGGGCCCATGTATCTTCTCCATCAACACCCTGAATCACCCTGTCAGAGTTGCCCTGGGCAATGCAAGCCTGGGGAGGGGGAGGGGCTCCAGGGCTGTGCAGGCAAGGTGAGCCTTGTGGCTTCAAAAGGCACATGATGAAGGTTGCCGCAAGGAAAAGAAATTTCTCCATGGAGAATCGCCAAGACTTAGGAGAGAAGATGGGATAGTAGTGGCCCCTTAAATCTGACCCCTGCTCACCAGCAACACATGTGGATGCACTCATACATACACAAATGCTCCAGCCACATATGTGGACTTCACTCAGGGTCTGTCCACCTCAGTCACTGGGCAATGTCTGGAGGCATTTGCTCATCACAGCTAGAGAAGGGAAGCAGTGAAGAGGGGAGGAGGGGACAGAGGTCACCCATGCAGCTCTACAGCCTACTGGGCTGGAGATAGCCCCACAATAGAGAATGACCAGGCCTCAGACATCAAGGCTTAGAATTCAGTTATGAAGCTGCCTACTAACTATTGCCCAACAAGAGCTCACAATGTACAGCCAGCCTCCCTGGTCATCACTTGGAGCCTCTGTAAACCTGACATGCATGGTTGCCATTGGCTACCAAGGTAATTGCAGAAGGCTGAAAGATCCAGCAAAGGAGTGTCTCTTTTCAATGGCTTTAATGGAGATGCTGCAGGGGCACACCATACATGTGCACACAGTATCATAGCATCTGATCACTCACAGTCAATGGAAACCCTGAACTAAGCAATTTTGAGCAACACCGAGAAGTCATTCAGGGTCCTTAAAAATCAGCAGGGGTCAAGGAGGCTGGAGATGCTGCTGGGACACAGGTGAAGGCAGAGGGGAGGCGTCCGTCCCTCTGCTCTCACATGCAGAACAAAGTCGGGAATACCAAGGCCATGTTCTCTTTCTTGGTCTTCAAAACCTTTTCTTGCTTGAGACACTGAAACTCTAGAGAGATCATGGTCTAAGATGAAATGTGGTTTGACAGATGGCAAAATTTGGCCTTTTACTAATTCAGATTAATTTTTGGTTGCAGCCATACCTCTCTGATGAGGTGAGTGTCATGTGACCCCCACGCTTTCATCACAGAGAGTCACCACACAATGTCTGTGCAGCAGATGGGCATTTCCCCATCTTTCTTAGGGGCTCTTTCTCACGCACACTTCTGAAAGTCCTCAGAGAAACAAATAGGAGGAGGGATGCCATTTCTTTTGTAGAAGCAATACGGCTATTTTAAACATAGCTAACGTCATCAGTTAATTTGCTGTAATATTAGAAAGTTTGGAGAACCTTGGTTCCTCCTCAGCTCTACAGTCTGGTGGGTAGTGTGCACTGTTATTGGTGACAACACAGCTGGACTGACTTGTTTTGGTGACCTTGTTTTTCTTCTTTATGTGTGTGTGTGAGTGCCGATATATCTACCAGTGCGAGTGCAAGTACATTTGTGTGTACCTGTGTGTGTGTGTGTGTGTGTGTGTGTGTGTGTGTGTTTGTGGGTGAGAAGACATACCCAGGTCAGAGAACAAGCTTGGGTGTCACTCTTCATCAGCTGTCCACCTCATTTTTGAGACATGGTCTCTCACTGGGCAGGAACTTGCCAAGCAGGCTAGACTGGTGAGCCAGTGAGTCCCAGGGTCTGCCTGTCTCCAGCTCCCCAGTACAGGGTTACAGTAATGGACTAGATTTGTGTACGGATCCTGGGGTCAGGCCCATGTTCTCTTGCACTGAAAGCGCTTTGCAGAATGGTTCTTGTTTTGTCAAGTGTTCTGAGACAGAGTTTTGCTATGTAGTCAAATCATGCTTCAAATTAGTGATCCTCCTGCCTCCACCTTCTGGGTGCTGGGATTATAGATGTGTACCGTCTCGCCTACTGAATGCTGTTTTTATGCTTAAAGTGATACAACAGGAAAGTCCTCCACCCTCCCCTCCTTTTTTTCTTCTCTCCCTTTGTTAACAAGCTTTTCAAGTCCTCAAAGCTGCGGTGAGGAAATTGCTGATGAAGTTCTCCTGCCGACATGACAGCCCAGCCATCCTTGGACACTTGCCAGAACCCCCCTTCTCAGGGAGAGCCGGCTCCCTCCTCCACTGGTCTCTTTGCTTTGAGGGCAGATGCTGAAGACAGGTGTGGGAGGAAACCCATCTGTCTGTGTGGTGAGGTGAGTATGCCTCCAGGCCAGCGGGGTCACTGCCACTTTAGGGAAGGTGCAGAGTAAGGCTCCCAAAAGGGGGATATGTAACTTCATTGCAAAGGGAAATGGACTGGCGTCCTCAGTGGTGACAGTCTCTTGACAGAGCTGTCCTGGCCTCCAGCTGGAAACTATAACACAGAGGGACGATCCTAGACCTGCCCAGTTGACGTCTCATCAGGACAGAAGCCAGCACCCAGGGACAGGGGCAGCAGATGTGCCCCACCCCAGCACCTCCCCCAAAGACCTTCACAAGCTCTCCTCCTCTCTCCACACATCTCAGTAGCCTCTCTGAGAACAGAGAACATGCAGGGCATTGCCTTTGACTCTGTCTTAAAGCACCACTCGGCTCATGAGCAATGAGTTATCTTCACAGTGTTTGCATTAATCTCCTAATGTTAAAAATGTCATCCAGTGGCACTAGAAGAAACCATCCTGAGCGAGGTAACCCAGTCACAAAAAGAGAAACATGGCATGTACTCTCTCATATATGGATTTTAGACATAGATCTGGGGAGTGCCAGCCTACAATCCCATGGCCAGAGAGTCTGGGAAACAGAAACTTCATTCAGTGGCTGATGGAAGCAGAATCAGACGGCTAAGCACTGAGCTGAAATCCAGTGACAGAGAGGGAGGACTGATGACCAAAGTGATTAAGACTGGGCTGGTTTAACCCCTCAGAAACAGCTGACCTGACAAGGGTTAACTTTTGAATCCCAGACTGATACCTGGGAATCCAGCATGGGACTGATCAAAACCCCCCTGAATGTGGTGTCAGTGAGGAGGCCTAGGTAATCTATTGAGCCTTGGGGGGATATTGGGGGGTTGGTGGGAGGGAGGGGGAGGGAAACGGAGAGGGACCTGGAATTGAAATGTGAAGCAACCTTGTTTCTAATTTAAATTTAAATGTATATATATGTATATATATAACTGTCATCAAGAAGAAGAAAAAAAACACATTATAGTGCCCTCCTTTACCTGGTAAGTACCTCACCACTGGCCCAGAGACACTTCCACCAGGAAGGGAGGCCCCAAGAACAGCCTCTACTAAGTACTTTTACTAATGGCTTGGAAATGAAGATTATTGCTCCAGAGAATGTGAGGTTTTAAGTATTTGCTTCTTATGGCTGTAGTAATGGTTCCATCAGCAAAGTTTTGAAAGTATGATGACCCGAGTTCCATCCCCAGCCTCCAGGAGAAAAAGCTCAGTATGACCAGAGCACATCCAGATCCTGGAACTAGAGAGGCAGAGAGGATGTTTGTTGGTGAGTCTCCCTAGTCAGTCAGTGAGCCCCAAGTTCAGTGAGAAACCCCACCTCACAAAGCTATGGAGGAGAAATGACTACAGAAGACATTCGGTCAACCACTTCTCTCTCTCTCTCTCTCTCTCTCTCTCTCTCTCTCTCTCTCTCTCTCCCTCCCTCCCTTTGTCCCTCCCTCTCTCTCTCTCTCTCTCCTCTCTCCTTCCCTATACACACACACACACACACACACACACACACACAAAGAAAGAGAGGCAGACAGACAGACACAGAGACACAGAGAACAAATAACAATTTGTTTCTTGTACCTTTCTCTTTAAAATGTTTTTAAAGTGTCCTTAGTCTTTTACTTCGGAACGGGGAGGGCAGTTTCCTCCCTGAAGATTAAAAATAAGGAAGGATAGATTTTAGGTGCAAACAGGATTATTTTCATCTCACCCAGTCGACAACCCACACAGCAAAGATGCACTTATTTCTTGTCAGTCAGGGAGCAGCGTGAAGAATGGGCATCCCGGAGCTGTGCTGAGGCTTCTTAGAAGCACCTGGTGGGGCCAGCAGAAGTGAGCGCCTGTGCTCACTGATGACAGATGAAGACTGATGAGGGGGCTGGCAGGTGTCACTGTCAAGCTGATTTAAGGTCTGGCAGTGTGGCCTTTCACCAAGCAGTTGGCTAAATCAGCTAGCACAGATCGATAGAGACGTGGGAGGGGTCCCCCAGCCTTCTCCTGAAGCCATCTGTCTCTTAAGTGTAGTCGTTCATCAGGGTAGGGGCAGAAGTCATTCCACAGACTAAGTTGAGATTATTTCACAAGCCTTATTGTGTAACTAGTTTCCCCTGAAGGATTAGCTGGAGAAGAAGATGTTTCCATGTAGCCTGGAAGGGGGCAAGTGGCATTGCCAGGCTGATTGCTTTGGTAGAAGGCATGTCTGTTTCCAACAAGTGCCTTTATGTGTGCATGTCTTGGTGTATGTAAATTTGTTTGTGTGGTACGGGTGTGTGTGTGTGTGTGTGTGTGTGTGTGTGTGCATTTATGGAGGCCAGAGCTTAACTAAGCTGAGGAATCAAGGTTCTGTCCACCTTGAATTTTGAGATAGGGTCTCTCACTGGCCTGGAACTTTCCACCTGACCAGCCTGACTCACCAGTGAGCCCAGTGCCCATCAGTATCTACCTCCCCAGTGTTGGGTTTGCAAGCATGTGCTACCATGTGGGTCTTTTGTATATGGGTACTGGGGATGGGTTTGCAAGCATGTGCTACCATGTGGGTCTTTTGTATATGAGTACTGGGGATGGGTTTGCAAGCATGTGATACCATGTGTGTCTTTTGTATATGAGTACTGGGGATGGGTTTGCAAGCACGTGCTACCATGTGGGTCTTTTGTATATGAGTACTGGGGATGGGTTTGCAAGCATGTGCTACCATGTGGGTCTTTTGTATATGAGTACTGGGGATGGGTTTGCAAGCATGTGCTACCATGTGGGTCTTTTGTATATGAGTACTGGGGATGGGTTTGCAAGCACGTGCTACCATGTGGGTCTTTTGTATATGAGTACTGGGGATGGGTTTGCAAGCATGTGCTACCATGTGGGTCTTTTGTATATGAGTACTGGGGATGGAGGGACTCTGGTCATCATGCTTGCATGGCAAACACTTTACTGACTGAGCCACTGCCCAGATCTCTTAAACACTTATGAGTCAGACTCGTAGCATTAGGGAGGGAGCCCAGGACTGGACGGTGAGATTTAGCTGTCAGAGGGACTCCAGGGGTGAAAGGTGATCCCAAATCTAAAGCTGTGGACGACACTGGTTGTTAAAGCATCCTTCTTGGTATCTGCTGCAGTAAAACAAGGGATTTGGAGAAACAGGTGGGAAAAAGGACATCACATAAGCATCAAAAAAGCACAGAGATCAGCTTTTCAGCCAATCACAGGCCCAAGGTGAGATTCCCTGCACATTCAGGAATAGCAGTCCCTGCAGGCCATGCATGGTCACAAGGGGCCCACATACTTCTCAGGGCTCACACCCACATTACAACTGTGTGCTGCAAAAACACATGGTTGGAGCCAGGATAGTCTCTCGGTGAAAACCGCCCTTCCTCCTTTGCAAGGTTTCACAGATATCTCTTATTCCATAGACTGAAGACCCTGCCTTCCAGGTCATATACCTGGCTTTGAGGTCAGAAGACCTGCTGGTTGACTGTGTCCAGGTGCATTGCCCTCAGAAGAGACCAGAGAGTACTGCATTTTCTAGATCTGTGGGTTGCAAAAGACAGAGTTCAGGTCCTGTGGTGGGTTACCTCTCACCCCCCTTTTCCCTCCCCGTCCACCAATAAACTCCACGTGGGATCGTTGAGTCCCGGTCTGTGTCTCCTTACTGGATAAACCTAAACATTTTAACAACATGCACAAAGTCAGGCAGCCTCTGGTGAGAGCCTTGTGATGCTCCGACTCACGTGGAACCACACAAGAATGGACACCGAGAAAGCCCAGGATCCGGGACACACAAACACTCATGACAACTCCCTCTCATGGCAATGACCCCTCCCACAAAATGACTGCAGCGCTGTGTGGAGAACATAAGTACCGTCATAGGGTTCTGTTCCTGTGGCACCAGTGCTCTGACAAGTCTTGACCACAGCCATAGCAGGGACTGATTTCCACCTGAGTGTCCAATGAAGCAGCCATATCACACAGCATGGTAATGCAATTAGTGCTGATTGACACTTGTTATACAGTGGCCAGTGACTCTGATCAGACAAGAGAGATAAATGGCAGGGGCCTTGTCAACATACCCTTCCTTCTCCATCTCAAAGTCCTTAACCCCAGGTTCCTGTCATAGGCAGGAGCGACATCTTTAGACAAATGCCACTGATTTCAAGCCTGTGCCTTTCCCGTTGACATTGTGCTGGTTGCCGAACATCAGCCAATCAGAGGGAGGCTTAGTCAACCTTGCTGACCTCACATACAGAGGTTTTAAGAAAACCTTGGAACCTGGACAAACTGCACTGTATAAGGTGACCCCCACTCACTGACAACTGTGTCCTGAGGTTAAAGAGGAACACAGGTCCCAGCTCAACCCACTGGAGCAGTGAGAAGGGACAACCTAGGGGCTTAGAGACCCTACCTACCCTCCTTAGAATGTCCCCCAGCCAACTAACCCTAAGAGTACCAGTTTCTCCTCTCCAACTATCCCCAGCGGTTTCCTCAAGTTCCTTTTCACCCATTGTTTGACTATTTCTCACGCACAGACAGAAGTTTGAGTGGTAGCCATAGCTTTGTTGTTCCCTGGAGTAGCTTGGTTTCTTCATTCACAGGTGAGGGTTCAGCTCTCAGCCTGGGCTGGCAGCCAGATGTGCAGGGAAAGGGAATGGGTTTCCGGGCTCCTGGGACCAAAAGGCGGCCTCTGGGTATCTTCTAATCTGCTATCTTCTCCTGAAGGAGCACCTGAGAAGAGGCTAGACTTGGGTCCCTGCGGGGTCTGTTTGCTGGTAAACTGGTCCTGGGAGACTTGTGGTCATTATCTCTTCCCACAGCATTTGAAGTGTGGAGCTCCCGGCTCTGGGAAGAAGCCCCTGTGGGAAGAGAATGGGCAAAGAAGCCCAGGTGGGTAGGACAAGGCTGAGCTGCCCCTACCTGTCACCCTTTGTGTGTCTCAGGCTTAGGGTCTCACTGGAAACAGGCAACTGGTAGCTTTGCCGGAACTAGCTGGATGACCTTGGGATCCAATCGGCAACTCCATTCCATCCTGCCCCACCCATCCGCCCCACCAGCACCCAGCATATTTTCCCTCTTTGTGCCCTAAAGGACAGGGGATAGTGCCTACCGCTGCCACACCGATCTGCAGCGGGCCTTCCCCACTCGGATCTGGTGCTTCTGAGATCTGGGGTGTTAGTTTCCGCTGCTGCAGCAGCCTGCCTCTGCTGCCAAAGCAGTTACGTCATCACTCGTCACCGGGTGCCTTTCCACCCACAGCTGTGAGACATGTGCACCCCTTAAAAGTGTCCTCCAGGCACAGCGCGCTCTGTCTCTCTTGCCTCCTCTTTCCTCTCTTGCGTCTTGCTCCTCCCTGGCCTCTCTCTTCTTCCTCTTGTCTCTGCCTGCCTCCCTCATGTCCGCACTCCATCGGTCTTTCGCTCTCATGCTCTCATAATACACCTCTTGCACTAACTCTGTTGCGTGCGGTGTATTCGTGCTTGCTTAGTGGTATACCTTGGCAGTGCCCCCCCCCCCCCGAAAAGTACCCACTTCACCTTTCTTTTTTTATCTTTGCATAGGATACGGGAATCCATCTCTAACTGGTCCCACTCCTCTTCCAGGCTGAAGGCAAGGAGATAAGCCATTGGCCTGAGCCTGAGGCCACCTTAGATTACAGAGGTGAGGGAGCAGATGCTCCCACAACCTCATAAAACAGAGTCTCCCATGATGAGTTTAGCTATCTATGGTGACAAGTCTGCACCTTCAGCACAAGTGACATCTCCTGAGGATTAGGCTGACCCTTTAAGCAATGACAGCCAGAAGGACTTCTGGTCACATAACAAGGTCAAAACAAGGACAATGACCAAACAGTTCACACCTTGACCAGGATCAATTAACAAAGCATGACTCTTGCCCCTGACCTCCTGAAACAGTCCTTTTTCTGAGCATTAAGCTCATTTCAGCACCCCAACGATAGACTTGAGGTCATTGGGCCCCTTCATCTGTTGCCAATCCCAGTGTGGCCACGGTGCATACATTTCCTCTCTACTTTTCCTCATTAGTTTCTTTAGTGTGTTGGGGTGCATGAATGAGCTTCATTTTGTGGGGCTCCAAAGCCTGGGCTTTATCCTAAAATCTCTGGTGACATGCTACTTTGCATCAATTAGATCTGCACATATATTTAGCAACTGAGAGGAAGGCCAATGACCAAATAAGTGGACCCGCCTTCTTTCTTGAGTCTCACTGGAGATTAAGGCCAAGAACTGGAAGCTGGTGGCCATTCTCCCTGAAAAGAACTGTAGGCTGGGAAGTCTGGGGAGCCTTAGGTGAAATGAATCCTTTCCAGACTTCCTTCATCCCTTCAAAGGATGTGGATGTACCTGGGGACACCATAATCCCATCAAAGAGTGGGAGGGAACTGGGGGATTCCCCCATCCCAGGTTCAGGAAGCAAGCTGCTTGCTAGAAATGAAAACAATCTCCACTCCAGGAAGGGTAAGTCAGCACCCCCTCCCCCACCCTCACCCCATCAGCCCTCCCATTCAGTGCTGGAAAGGCCAACCCAGCATTTCAAAACCTTTTGCTAGAAACTTCTTGAGTATCCTGCTGAGCGCTTCCTTTCAAAGACAAATTAGTTTCAAACCAGAGGAGCCCGCCCCTCTAGCCCATCAGCTTCAGGGAGCCTAGACAGATGTCCCCCCCAGAGCCTGGGACAGGACAGTCAATACCAAATTAAAACTAGCTTTAAAATAAATTAGCAAACAGCAGCTCTAAGCCCTTCCTGCTGGCTGCTGCCGCTGCTCTTTTCTTTTTAGTCCAATAAAACAATTAACTTTTACGTCTCGATTTAGAAGCAGCTGCCTCGGGGGCAGGGGAGCTCTGACTGGGAACTCTCTATATAGGGAGGGAATTCACCCACGCAAATAGCTGAGGCCCAGCTAGGCAGCTGCCACTCTAAGGGCTCTGGGGCCTGGGCACAGGTAGGTGAGGTGGCATTTTTCATGGGGTTGCAGCAGTTGTTTGTTATGAAGGATGCAGAGGAAGTGGAATTCATGATGATTGCCAGCTTCTGAGATGGACCAAGGGAGCATGAGAAACCCAGCAGAAGCTCACTACCAAACATTCAGAGCGTAGCGTTGTACAAGAATCTGTAAACACAGTCTGTGAAATGCTACTGATCTGGGACCGTTTCCTGTCCCCTCTCTATCCAAACAGCACAGGTAGGGCCTTGGTCAGGCAAGAGGACCAGCTTTCTGGGGCATGATGGGTGAGGGAAAATGTGATCAGACAGTCAAAGCTTGGTCTTGGTGGGCTGGCTGGTGGTCACACCCTCGTAAAAGACAAACAGAGACAGACATTGTCAGGACACCCAGGGGCTGCAGAAAGGAAGTCTGGGAAAGCAGGAGACAGAGGACCCGGAGATGGAAAAAGGATGGTGTTGGAGCAGGAAACAGAAGGACTTAAGACCCCAGGGGAGAGGTTGGTCTGAGAAATCAGAAGTCTGCCAGACATGGTCAGGATAATGACAGTGACAGACATCCTGGGACCTTGGGAGAACTAGGGTCAGATGGGAGACCACCCTGGTCTCCCCCCTGTGGGAAGTAAGTCAGAGCCTTGACCAGAGAGCCTGGAGTGAGGGGCTCAGTGAGGGAGAGGCCTCAGAAAAGGAGGGCAGTGTCACAGCGATTGGGGTTCAGATGAAGTGGGAGAGGAAGGCTGGTTTTCCTTCCCAAACTTCTCTGCAGAGACCGTATGAAAATCCTGGTTCAGTTTCCTCTTGCAGTTTGGATCATGCCAGCAGAATGAGGGCGATGTCAGTCTCTTTGAGAACATCCAAGATCCTACAGGAAGCTGCATCTGGCAGAAGACCAACACTGCACTAGAGGGAGTGCGCCCTGCCTCTCCCTCCCTTCTCCTTAGGTGGGGAGAAAGGTAAACAGTGCACAGAACTCAGGGAAAGACTCTCCGAGTGAGTCGTTAAGCCTCACAGAAGAGTGTGTCCCCAACTTCAAGGAAAACACGGGCTTCAATGCATGCACTGCTCTCTGCACAAAGGCTTCATGAGCTCCCGGCTTGTCTGCATAGTGGGGATGCCTGTGCCTGGAAGGTCCCCAAGGGCTTCGTGAGAGGTACCTTGTTCCCTTCGGGAAGATAGATAAGGCAGAGGGATGGCTACACTCCAGAGCCATGACATGTCTTCATGGCTTCACACTGACTTTGATTTTTTTAAAAAAGGATTTAATCAAAAATACATGGCCACGTGCCACCATCAACAGTGCAACAGTGAGGGGCAAGTGTCAGACATGCACAGATACACATAAAAGCCTCAAATGAATGGGGCTAGAGCTCCTTAACATGGTTATTTCTGACATGCATATGTAGGGGTGACTGTGGAAATGCAGGGCACCCCGTGGACAAAGCTTCTTGAAGAAGCGCACCCCCAGGTACACTTAAACTGAGGGTGACCTACACTTCTTCCCTGAGTCCTCTACCAACTGCAGCTAAGCATTTATCGGCTTCTGCTGCCCTCTACTGGCAGCATCTGGAAACACTCACACGTTTCCGTTTCAGTCCCTTTCCAAACAGAACGAAGTTTTCTATGGATGTCCCGAGTTCTCCATGAGTGTCCTCACCTGCCAGAATCAACATGTAAGTTTGCAGCATGTTGAAATTCACAGAGTGAAATCCACACAGAAAACCACCCACCAATTCTCAAGATTTCAAAATTAATTCTAATAGAAACAGCGACAAAGAGTAATGATGAAAACAGTCTCTATGAGATGGACAGAGTACTACAATCGTACCCATGGCGGGTTAGCTTTCCACGCATCCAGTTATCTTCATTCATTTGTGCCCTGCAAATACAGAATGGAAACCTGCAGGAATAAGCAACTCATAAGTTTCAAACTGCACATTGCTCAAAAAGCAGGATGAAGTAGAACTGTCCCCCTATCCTGTGAATCCACAGTGTTGCCCACTGTGTGTGTTAGGTGAGCAGATGTCTCAGTGATCAGGTGGGCTGTTGTGGTACTGCACAGTTGGTGCTCGGGTCATTAATAAGGGTGGGAGGGCGTTTCCAAGACACCAGGAGTAGAGCAGACCTATGCAAATGTGCTGCGGGTCATGTGGGATGAACCATAGTATCACACAGTGTCTGTCTCTATTGCAGTCTCAGCTTCTGCCTGGGCACACTGTACTTCGATAGTTAACTGCTCAATTTCTGAAGTGACCACCAGGGGGCAATGCTCCTCCCGCATCTCCCAGGCCCTCTTAGATCACCAGCTCTCCAACAACCGGACCTCCGTTTCCAGGCGCTGGAAGCAACCGTGGACAGGGCACACATGGCGGAGCAAAACTGAGTCAAGCAGAACACCGTGGACAGTGGCTGTCTGAGGGTGCTGATCTGGTGGCGGTTCCCTCCTCCCGGATGACTCAGGTAGACAAAATCTAGTCAGCATAGGCACCAACAACAGACCAGAACACAACCCCACTCAAACACAACTTTTGAGCCAAGCTCATTGACCTTAGGGAGCATGAGTGAGGAGCTAATTATAGGAATGGGGGTCCCCAAAGCAGCTGCATTGCTGGTAAGCCTCACCCTGTGGACACTGACTTCCCCATGGCTGCATAGTTGGAGTATCCTCCTCTTGAGTCACCTTTCCATTCTTTATAAACTCTAGCATCTTCCGAAACCATGAGGACACATGCAATTTGGGCAGAATTCTATGCCAATGGTAGGGTAGGATAGGAGGTGACTGGCATCCCAGAGGAGGACCCAGGGACCTACCACCCCCTCCTTCTATGGAGTATCATGAACAGCCATGGCTGCTTCTGATGATGATGGTGATAGCTGCTAAGCTTAGGGGACAG